TTTCCACAGATGTGCCAACATGTCTGTCTTATTAAATTGGAACTTTAAGGATAGCTCTGCCTTGGACTCTTGATTTAATTCTGCATTATATTTGGAATGCTGACAGCTAGTAGCCAAACCTGTTAATCTTTCACAGGTTGAAACCACTTAAGGTGTTATGATATGCTGATCTAGGGGAATGCAACCATTTCTTAGGATATCCCTGGTAGGTGAAAAAAATATTTTCTACTCATTTCTACTGTTGCAGGTGATGCGCATGACTTTATCAACATTGAACTGGAGACGGAGGGAGATGGTGCGATGGCTGGTGACCTGTGCTACAGAAGTTGGTAGGTATTTTCACAAACCCATGCTTAAAATTAAGACTGCAGCCTAGAGCGAGCCTAATTCAGCCTTCCTCAACATTGGCTTGAGATTCTGGGAGCTTTAATTCCCCAAACACCAGGAAGGTAATGCACATGTAGCATGTTCTGCTCATCCAAAAGATATTAAGATGCTATTGGGCACCAGAGTCAAATATGGATGATAACTAATATCCAAATTCATGACAAAGATAAGTGATTTCTAATTCAAATAGTCTATTTCTCCCAATATTGATTCCCTAGGTAGCAAATATCGAAATATTTAATTATAAGGAAAACACACCAAATGAAGATAGGATAAGATACACTATATGACATTTCCCAATTGAATTCATTAAGTAGCTCAAATTATAGCAATCTTTTTAATCTTTTCACTATGGAGCTCAAACATTCATTGTAAAAAAAAAAAGAGAGAGGTCATCTCCTACAAGTTAGTGCTAAACTAGACTGCTACTTTCAAAACAGAGAAAGAGACAAAAATATAATTGACTGCAATATTGGTCCCCTGACAGAATTATGGCCTTGGTGCTATAGGTCCAATCTGATGAAAAATAAAATACAATTAGTGCTCAGTTTACTTACTACCCTTGTGTGTACCTTGCTAGTCCTTCCCTACTGGTTGAGCAGTTCATGATTCTTTCTTGCAGGTGTTCGCGCGCTGGTCAGCATCTTGCAGAGTTGGTATTCACTCTTTACCCCTACTGAAGCAACTAGCATAGTAGCAACAACAGTGATGTCCCACAGTACCATCCTGCGGCTCAGCCTGGACTATCCACAGCGCGAAGAACTGGCTAGTTGTGCTCGCACACTGGCCCTGCAGTGTGCCATGAAGGATCCACAAAACTGTGCGCTCTCGGCTCTTACCCTTTGTGAGAAGGACCACATCGCTTTCGAGACCGCTTACCAAATTGTTATAGATGCTGCATCCACTGGCATGACTTATTCCCAACTGTTCACCATTGCACGGTATATGGAGCACCGCGGGTACCCATTGCGGGCCTTCAAGCTGGCCTCCCTTGCCATGACACACCTCAACCTTGCCTATAACCAGGACACACACCCTGCCATCAATGATGTGCTTTGGGCATGTGCACTCAGCCATTCCCTTGGGAAGAATGAGCTGGCCGCTATTATTCCATTGGTAGTAAAGAGCGTGCACTGTGCCACAGTGCTATCTGACATTCTGCGCCGCTGCACCATGACAGCGCCAGGCCTTGCTGGCATCCCTGGCCGCAGGAACTCTGGGAAACTGATGTCAACGGACAAAGCACCTTTGCGCCAACTGCTGGATGCTACAATAAACGCTTACATCAATACCACACACTCCCGTCTTACCCACATCAGCCCACGGCATTATGGGGAGTTTATTGAGTTTCTGAGCAAAGCTCGAGAGACTTTCCTGCTTGCTCAGGATGGCCACATTCAGTTTGCGCAGTTCATAGACAACCTTAAGCAGATCTATAAGGGCAAGAAGAAGCTTATGTTGCTAGTGCGAGAACGATTTGGTTGAACTTCTGCGTTAGGGGGAAAAGGGAAGAAGAAACCCTGATCATTGTTGGAGGAATCATGCTCATCAGGCAAGACTAACTGTAGTTTTCATCATAGAAAATCTCCCAATTCTTTGAGGAACATAAACCAAAAGTAGCATGACAGGAAGAGTTTGCTTTCCAATGACCCCTTATTTGCAAACACTTCAGCAATACCAAAAGGCTAACTAGGAAACTGAATACCTCTCTCCCAAACAGCATGGTGGATGGAGGCAGAAAAGCAACCAATATGGAAGCACATTACTCAGCCTCTTGCGCTGCCATCTGGGTTCTCAGCTGGTGGGTTTTGAGGTCTGCATCCTCCATAACTGGTGTCACCATTTAGTGCAGCCTTCTCCAACTTGGTTACCCATCAGATTTGCCAGACTTCAATTTGCTTGGCTGGGGAATAGGATGAGTTGACTCCAGAGTAACTGGGACGAGGGAGGGGGCGGTAATAGGTTGGGGGGTTGGTTTAGTATGTGTGCAAGCGCGTGAGTATGAAAATCCTTAATTAAAAAAAAACTAATGTTAACGGTTCTCAGGGATTGCTTTACTAAAAGTAACAGAAGCATTTATGATACTGTAAATACAATAGTATATGTGTCAATTATTAAATTGTAAAGTTTTAATTATTTATAATTATTCTTTTTGTTTGTTTTTGTTTGTTTGGGGATACTTGAAAAGTGTTGTGGTCTGGGCTAAGCATTTCCAAACTTGAGAAATATTAACGTTTCTCAGGTTTTACACCCCAGAATTGTTGGCAAAAAAAAAAAAAGTGGGTGGGGTTTGACTAATGGAAAATAAACAAAAGCTTGAGCAGACCTACCACAACACACAACCTTGGAAGAGAGGAGACCAAGGTGGCAACCGCAAAGCCAGATACACCTCAGCATTTCAAGGCCATCAGGGTGTGGACTTGGCCCGCTGGCTATAAGCCACAGCACATTACTTGACTCTGCTACTTCGTACCATGGTTCCAAATGTGGCGTACAAAATGACCCCAGGAAGCTGGAACAAAACTGTGAGCCGGTTGAGCTCATAGTGTAAAATGCTCTATTTTTGGCCTCCAAATGCAAACCATTTGATTTGTGCAAGAGTTATATTACTCTGTGAATTTAGAAAGGGTTCTATTTTTATTCTTTTGTCATCTGAGGAGCAGGAGGAATTAGTCTGCATTTGTCTTTATTTTGAACTTTATTTCAAAAACTACTGTCTTTGCTGGCCTCTGCTTAGGTTGGTGCCTTCTTGAGGACAGCTTTCTGCCATAGTTTCTGCTACTTTATCTCCTACTACTGCTTTGCATCCATCTGAATGTTTATTCGGTCCAATGAAATGGAGTGAAGCAGAAGCAAAATAGTTTTCCCCCTTTTCTAAATGTCTTTGTGTTCCCCTGTTCCGATGCATCTTAGTTTTAAAAGGGGCAGGGTGGGAATGGATGGGGCAGGGGTTAAGATGAAGCGTAGTTTAGAAAATGTGGATTAAAATTACGTACTGTCTGACTCCACTTTTGTTTTTGTTTAAAAAAAAAATCCTGAGAAACTGGTTCGAAGACCAGACAAGCCCTACTCACCCAGTATTTGTTGCCATAAAAGTATCATTCTTCTGTCTCTTTATTTTGTATGTACAACTTCTTGATCTGATGTTTAATAAAATAAAAAAAAGGAAGACTTCGTTGTATCACTCCACCCCTTTTGGTATCAGTCCATTAATGCTGCCAGTTCGAAATCATAAAAAGGATAGCCATTTAAAGACAATCTGTGCTGCTGCTGAGATGGGATTAGAGCAGGGGTCGGTAACCTTAAACACTCAAAGAGCCATTTGGACCCATTTCACACAGAAAACACCGGGAGCCACAAAACCCTTCCTGTGCCTGACTATTTCCTGAGCGGCTACAAAACTAGCGTATGATGTTGCATTAAATGTTCTGTTTTCTTCTGAAACTTTTCTTTTCTTGGATTTATCCACGGTTGGCCTACCGGGGGTTGAAAAGCTTAATAAATCACACGCCGGCAAGGGTTGCACATTGGCAGTTGTGATGCATATTTTGAGTGACAGGGAGCCGCAGCAGAAGGATGAAAGAGCCACATGCGGCTCCAGACCTGACCCCTGGACTACAGAGAGGTTACCGTTCCATGTAACTGGAAGCGAGGGGATAGTTCTTCCTTTTTTTGATATAAACAATATAATTTGCATATAAGCTAAAAGGGGACCGATTAACCCTTTCTCAGACACAAGATACTTAACCTGCAGAAGCAGCAGACCACTCAGGCATATGCATGAGGCATAGCTCCTCCTCAGATGTTTTGAATTACTCCCCACATCAACAGCCCCACTCTTGCGGCACATCTGACTATTAAAAACAATCCAAGTAATAAAAAAAAAGTTTCTGCAAGAAACAGATGGGTAGGAAGCAAGACAAGACAGCCAATTCCTATGGAGAAGGGCAGATGAAGTTCAATTACAATAAAAAAGTGTTCACTAATTGTTGGAGGCATTCAAGATTAGTTTTGTAATCAGTTGGAGCAATTTGGGGATAAAAAGTACACAGTTGGGGAAGTATATGTTTCATAATGAATCCATTTTCTACAGTAGAGACTGAGAAGAAGATAACGTATGTGTGAAAAGCCTGCACTCCCCAGCTTCTTTTGCCAGTTCCTGCCACAGCCTTTGTAGCTAATTACACCGAAATCCTTTTCAGGATGTAACCTCTCAATAACAGTTACATTTGCTGAGCAGATGATCCATTTCTTTTCTTTTCACTTAAGGACTGTTTTCTCCGAGTCTCCTAAGAACATTTGTTCAGATTGCAGGAATGCATGTGCACAGCATCCACAAAAGCCCCTACGTGTTCTGGATCGATGTCAGGATAGAGGCCATGGCCCAAGTTGGCAATGTAACGCTGGGAGCCAAAGCCTTCTAACATCTTTTTCACCAGCTCCCCAATCTTCTCCTGTGGGAAGTGAAAAATGATTAAGCAGACCAGATAGCAATAGGAATAGGAACAGCACTTAGACTTCTATATCGCTTTATAGTGCTTTACACTCCACTCTAAACAGTTTACAGAGGGGGGGAAGCAGCACCTTAAAGCCAACTTTGGTTGTTTCCATAACAAAAGCATGGTTTGAAGTCATTGATTGGTCACTTGGTCCACAGCAGAGAAAAATGGTAACAGCTCTTTGACCTTCATCAACCTATAAGCAAGATTTTATTTACAATAGGAAATAACTGATAATCGGGTTAGGATTTGAAAATGGTCTTTACTTTAACTTCTTAGTCCATGAAAGGCCTTGGTTACTTGTTTCTTTTTACCAAAAAAAGAGACAAGAACATGAATTTTCAAACTTTTTCAAGTTGGAGAATAGATTTTAAAAAAATAAAGTCCCAGAACCCGTAATCAAGAAGGGTGGGGCTTTTGAATGTCAGCGAGCAAGTCCTGCAACACGATTATTCCTTAGTGGCTAAGAGGAGAAAAACTCTTTTCATAAAGGGCCAAGGGCAGGAGGATTTGGGCTGGAGCCCATCTTTGGAAACTTCTCTCTAGCAGTGTGTGTTCTGTTCTCTGTGTGTGTTTTTTCCCCTCCTACTCTCCATAAGGGACTAAGGTTAAATTCTCTGCCAGGGAATTTCCCCCTCCCCTTTAATAAATACCTTGTAAAGAATTTTTCTTCCTTTGACCAGCAGACCCCATTCAATTTCCATAGAACCCAGGTAGAAAACAAGTGAATTTATATAAGAAGCCACTGGCTGCAGAAGTGAGTATAACCTGATTGTTTACAGGTTAATGCATGTTTCCTTACCTTGGATGCATATAGAGCACATGGATCTAAATTCCCTTGTAAGGTAACGTTTTTTCCTGTCCGCTTGCTGAATTGGGGAAAGAAAATATTACATTGTATGGAAGGCACGTAACTAAGATAAAATTACTTGTTGGACTTCATTGCCTCAACATGCAATGATAATCCCTATCCCTATCCCTATCCTATGAAGGACTGTGGCCTGTACAAATGGGAAGAAGTGCTTTTTAGGCAGCGTGGGGTTTGGCTGCTGGATTGGCAGGGCGGAGCTCGGCTCACACTCCCTGCATTATTTCTACCTGAAACTACTAGAGCCCAGCCAGGAGCTGCCTCCTTCATTAGGGGCTACCTGAATGACCAGCCCATCAGTCGCTATGACAGTCTCGCCAGGAAGTGGAATCTCTGGTATCCTGGATGGAGGAAGTGGAGAAGGAGACCTTTCTGTCCCTTGAGTGGGTCTTCAGGAGTGAGCTGGAGAAGTTGTCAAGACTCAACCACCCAACAAACAGTAGTTCCTCGACTTATGACCACAACCCCCCTGCCAAGGGAGCCATGTCGAACACCGGCGGCAGCCCCCTGCCCACCATGACGGAGAACCTGGAGCAGGACGTTAAAAGCTGCATGACGGTAGCAGAAATTTTTCAGTTCCTGAAACTAACATCTATTAAAGATCACCAGTGGCACATCCAGGCATGCTGCGTTCCTACTGGCGAAGGAGAGGGAGGACAAGGACGACGAGAAGCCTGTCCCCCCCCCAGCTATCACCAGCTGCCCAAGCCGCCTCAGACTTCCTGCCCCGCTTCCAGGCCCCGCAGAGGAGAACGAGGAGAACGAGGAG